AATATAAAGAAGACTTGGCTTTAGCCTTTACAGTTTTTGAAAATATAAAGAATTAAAGAAAATAAGACTTGGCTTCGGCCTTTATGGGATGGAAAGAAGAAAAATAAGACTTGGTTCCGGCCTTTACACTTTAAAATTCTATATATTCAAAATAAAAAAAGACAAGGCTGTATGGCTTAGTTCCTTTGGCTGCTCTCTCGAGCGAATAATAAAAAAAAACAACAACAACGTTGTCTTGTGCCTGTGCTTATTTCTTGTGATTTCATATTTTTGAGTGATTTATCGCTATTGCTTATGTATTTGCGACGAGTTGAGTTGAATTATCGCTCCTCCACTTTCCATTAGAATCGCTGTCGAAACACCCAAATCTTGAACTGTTGTGATTGAAAGTGCATTGTTGGTTAAATGGTTTTCGGTTAACTTAACATTTTCACTAATTACCACCACAGACTAACTAGTAGATTCTACCCGAATCAGACGGACATCTTACGAACTAAACTTACTCGACTTAGCTTCTGCGTCCTGATTGGTTGTAGCAAAATGATATATGACATTTCTTTTTTTTATTTGAAGCAGCTATAACCAGGCAAAGGTCGTCGCAAATAATAGCTACTTGAAATTTTATTATATTGAAAATAAAACGAGGTAAATACAAATGAAACAATGTTGAAATTTGCTATTTTTTTATCAGTTATTAATATATACATTATTAAAAAACTATAATAACTTAATTATTATACAGTCCTCATATTAACTTTACAATAATTTGTTTACAAATTTAATAATTATTAATTAATTAATATATACAATATTAAAAAAAATTAATTAAACAAACTAAAACTAATAATTCTCATAGTCCTCATTTTAACTTTACAATAATTTTGTTTACAAATTAAGAATTAATGGATTAGTATCAATATAGGATTCACCAGTTTCACTACTTTCATTACTTTTCCCTTTCATGTCCTTTAAATGGGCTCATTATTTTTAATAATTGTGCACTAACATCATCTTCACAATTAAAAGATGAGCAGTAAAAATTAATGAATCCTGTTATTAATAAAGATTTAAAAGCATTTATGAATTAGTGGCAAGTCGGGTTATGGTCCCTAAAATTGTATGATCTTATTTAACCGAAAAGGTTTTCGATCAGAATTCATATAGCAGGGTCACATAATTTTTATGTTTTTCTGGGGCAAACACTGCCACAATTTAAAATAATTAATATGATAACTTACAAAATGCAGAGGTATAATCAAAGAGATTTAAATATATAGGTATACTATAGAGCGGACATCATTTTTATACAAAAACTTTGAGCTAGTGCGCATGCGGCACCCTCTAGCTAAAAATAGCAAAACAACGCTAAGCATTTATTAAGACAACATTTTAGCTATTCCCCAGTAGGTGACGCTAATAAATATAACCTCGTTTTAGGGATGATACCATGTTTGAAATGCTTTTCGATATAATAATAGGGAATATGCATGATTGTTTTATTGTATAAATCTATTTATCATGACTTCCATCACATGAAAAAATCATATTAACTTTTTACGCCCCTTTAGTGTCATGAAATAAAATATTTAATATCCAATAACTAAGAATTAATTCAAACAACAGTCACTTTGGTTGCCACCTTGGTGGCATGACGTCACTCGGTCCATTAGCTGCTATAATAATAGCATATGATTGATACATACACATTACATTACACATTCATACACATAGAGAAACGCCAAATCTAATAAGAGAGCGCCTCTATGTTTTTAAATTTGTTTCTATTACAAAAATACACTTGAAATCTAAAATATTTTAGGAAAACACTGAACTTAAAAGCCGTTTCATGATTTTTCACATTTCATCAGCTGCAGTACTTAAAGACACTACCCACATCAATAAAAATTGTTACTTTAAGTTTTAACCTTATTTTCTAAGTCAGGCTTACCCTACAACTTCTTGCAGTTAATATCTTTAACAGTACAAATTGTTTTTAATGTAAGAAATCTATTGCCCTCTCCTATCACTGAAAGCGAGGATCTACAATGACTTTGTCCTTGAAAACCACCAGACAATGAAGCCTGGTATGTAAAAGAGAAGACTTGCTGTATTGCTAAACATCAACACAGCAAGTATCCTCAGCATGCTCATAAGCAACACAGAAAATCTCATCAGCATGCCTAAAAAAAATTTCCCACCCTTGCTCCACATAAAGTAGGCTACTTAGCATGACGTTTACTGGATAACAGAGGGCGCTTATTACAATAAAAATAAATGTTCTAGAACAATCTACTAGAAATAATAAAATTTTGATGATGTCACTAAGACTAAATGACAAAAATCAGAGATATATCCTATAGGACATAAGTTACAGACGACAATTTTGCTACTGATGTCCGGTCTATTGCTACTACTACTTAAATGTCTTTGGGTATTATTAAAGGGTCCTTCCACAGTTTTACTAAATACAGGAAAATGTGTATTACACATACAATAATTAAATTACATGTAACTGAAATATAATTACAATTATTTTATACCTTAATTTTCTTTTCCAGGAATAACATGTTTGTCATTAAGTTTGTATATAATAACCGTGTTTCTGTATGTTCATAGTCTTTCTTATCTGTCCATGTAGAAATATTTTCTTGGTATTGTACATTTTTTGTTAAAAATTGTTTCACATTCCTTTGATTAAATGTGGTGGATTAAATATGACAAGCATATAAATGCCACTTATATGTATCAGGTCATCTAAAAATATAAAATATATTAATAATAAGGCAATTCTATTAAAAGTAATCATGGCTGTAAGGTTTTGATTAATTGTACCTACCAGTGTTTTTATTTTCCCGTATTTGAACTGCTCTAGTATCCTCTTGCAGTAGTTTAAGAGCAGATCTGAATGTAGCCCCTTCATATTAGAATAATGTTAATGGAATAAGTCCACTCTCACCAACACCCGCAACTATTTCTTTCAAAATATTTTCACTTCAATAGTAGATGTTGATCCTTCACTACAGTAAAAGGCAATCGGTTGATACAAGTAAATGCAAAGATTGGGCAGAAACAATTCAACGCCACCACTAAACGTAGTGATTATATTCTCTTTGGCCACCACATGAAAATTTATCAGTAAATGAGTAATATCCCTCAACGACACTTTAATTCAGTGTAGTCTTGGGTAGTTCGCGAACGACCTAGGTTGAAAGAGCGCTCTTTTTGGTGAACTATGCGAACTAGTTCGTCGACAATCACGCTCTTAATTCTTTAATTATTTATTTTTCTTGCGTCCACTCTATTATGGAGTGGTGCTACATGGCTAACCGACTGATTTATTTTTATTCTTACCGTTCTTACCAGAGTTTCTTATTAAAATATATAATTTATAGTCTATACTTAAAGTTTTATTAGTGCACAATTCACAACAAATAACAAATATTGCTGGCTCACAATATTAATATTAAAGTGATAGTAAGCAGTACATAAATACCGTATAGTTCTCAATTCGATTTTACGGCAAGTTTATTCAAAATTAATATTTTACATTTCTTTTTCCACTAATTTTATAATATTTTATAATATATAATATAACGAAACTGAATGGAATTAGAAAGTATTCTTTATTATACCAAGTAATTCGTTATAATGAGGTTTGTTATATAGAGGTTAGGTGGAACTACAATGAGTTTTAACAAGGTAAGAAAACTTGTTTATTAATCAACATTACGTAAATAGTCATCTACCTGTCGTGTACGTGTCTGAACCTGCCAAGACATGATTTATTGTGAAATTAAGTAGGAATAATTAATAGTATATGTTATGTCAAGATTTCAAGTTGAGAAAATTGGTTAAAAGAGATAAATAATATCTTCTATATATATTCCGCAATAACTAAAAATTCGATATAAAGATGTTTCTGATAAAATCTATTCGTAATGTAAAATTACATTTTGCATTAGCTCTTACAGGCAGTTCTAGGGGATTTCGAAAAATTCGTTAAACCGAGGAATTCGTTATATTGAGGTTTGTTATATCAAGGTTACACTGTGTTACTATGTTACATTAATTAGCGACATGTAATCTTTAAATTACAATTTTCAATAATCCAATACACTTCAAAAATATAAAAACATGTTTAGCTTCGTTTATTACATTTTATTTTAATGTCCATATCATCAAATAGTTCTTGATAAGTATCATGCACATATTATACATTATGTAGTATATTACATACTAATTAAATCATTAATTTTTTTCACGTAAATTCAATTAATTTTTATTTACTGACATTCAATAAACTCATCTTTTGTAATAAGATCTACTGAAAAATCAAAAAAGAACTAACGAACTAAATGAGCGAACTAATTCGCTATAGGACTACGAACTAAATTGAGCGCTCCCAATGGCGACCGACTATGCCCAAGACTAATTCAGTGACAATTACAAAAGCAAAACAAACAAAATCTATACTCCATGCTTAGAAGGGATGTCGAAAGGCGAGGGGGGATGTTAGCTGTCAAAATATCATCGTGCTATGACGTTCCCATGTCCAGTATTTTCTCTATGAAGATTACTGCCCGTGATTTCTTCTTAATAACTGGCCTGAAGTTACAATGTATAATTATCCTTCATAGTACACTGCTGCAAAATATGCGTCACATTGTGCAGCCCTTGGAAGATTTTGACGGCAACTTGAACCAGCAGATAGCTGACGGTTGGCGATGGTATCTCAAGGCGCCAAAGCAGACAGACACCTTATTTTGAGAATCACATCACCATCAGAGCACTTGTTTCACAGTTTCCACTAATAGTTCACATGCGCAGACATTTAATACACAAAATCGCACCACTTATACTCGTACATATCAAACTCCACATCAAACCATTATTTAAACAATAATACAGGAGCAGCAATCCGCCGCCGGTCAAGTTCCCGCCAAAACACTCTACTGCTCGTGATTACCACATTCAAATTTAAAGACTATAACTGCTCTAGAATGTCTCAACAATCTTGTTGTGTGCCCAGCTGTACAGTTACACTTGGAGATGGTAAGTTAAACTATATGTTCATAAAATATAAAATTACCTCTACTTTCTGGTTTAATTATTCCATAATGCATAGATTACTATATATTATATATACTAGAGATAGATGGGCGACTCAAATTTAATTTTCGTTAGTGTCCCGCTTTTCCGAACAGATGGTGCGTAATTCTTACAAAAGAAGGTACTTGCAAAAAAAGGGAATAAATAAACACATCTGCAGGTCTCGAACCGGGGTCTTTTAGTTTCGGGACCGCCAGGTTACCAATCTGAGCTATTATAACCACGTATATATATAAGTACGTAGTGGCGAAATTTACCTTCGTATTCTAATGATATTTTAGCAATTTTTCATTGCCTGAAAATACAGATAAAACGGCATTTTCTAAAAATAAATAATGTTCAATAAATATTAATAACAATTTAAGCGTAACTACCAGTGACCGCTACTAACTGCGTAGTGCGCATGAATCATTGCGTATGCATAGACTTAATATATAAGTGTGCCCTCTAGTGAGATTAAAATAAGTAAAGCCTAGCACTTCGGAATGTATATGGAAGCACATAAGACGTATCATTTTGTTCGTAAAATAATGTTCTAAGATGCATGCCTGTTAGCGACGCGCTCATTTGTAATTAAAATTATGTTAGGCATTAAATTTACTGTGTATCGATTGTACTTACCTATACCTATTTTGGTTATAAATTTGTTTTAAAAGACGCGAAGCCTCTGACGTGCTTGTCGGTGAGAACCCCGGCAGTCTGCCACTATATGTGAGTCGATGCGCACGCCCATATTTTGTCACGCGCAGCCATTTGTAAATTCGCTTATTATTATTAAATTGAGTACAACCATTATTTCGCAAGTTCATTTGAACCTTCAGCACGATCCTGCAGCTCCTAAGATCTACAAAGTGGTACTTCGAGCCGGATCTAATGTTCCGGACTCCAGTTGTAAGAGGGCGACGAGCAAAAAGCTGCAGGAACAACATGATTTGCTGGAACAAAAGGAAATTGCAGATAATGCTTAAGATGCAACTGTTGTTTCTAAGGAGCACACCAAAGTGCCGCAACGGTTATTTACCGATGTACCGGGTAGTAGCATAAAATCAGAACCGCTACCGCACAAGGCAAAACCAAAAACCTTAGTTACATCGTGCTCCAGTAAATGTTCTCAAAAGTCTAGGAGTATAGCATCTCAAAAATCTAAGGAAGCGAAGAAAAAGCAGTTACTGCTCGAAGCTGCTCAGCAGAAGGCAAACATTCAAATGGATCTCATCGACCGGAACCTGGACGCCCAATTGGCAGCACTCAGCGACGATTAAGAATATCAAGGATACAGTTCACAAATCGATGGAAACGAGCCTCCTCGAAGCGGGTGAATGGGTGGCCCACCAAAGTACCCACAAAGAACCCCCAATCGAACAGCAAGCCCCCGAGAAAGGAAATTATACGGGCGCGTCGAATCGGCAAGTATCGGCATCCCGCGTCGAACACGTGGCCGGCCCGCTGCCCAGCGCAGTGCCGCCGCCACTCGACGACACCGTGACTGTACTAAATACAGCGGTTCACATGTTGGCTAGTACTTTGAAAGATATTTCAGTTAACTGTGCAAACAACGTGCCTCAAGCTAGTTTGCTCAGCCGTATGAGTACACCGAAAGATTTACCTGAGTTTTCAGGTGACCAATTGGAATGGCTTCAATTTAAGCAAGCGTACGATGAATCAACGGCGTTATGTAAATATACGCCGAAAGAAAACCTCTGGAGACTTAGAAAGTGTCTACGAGGGCAGGCGAGGGATGCAGTAGCCGCATTGTTTATTAGCGCCACGTCACCAGACAAAGTGATTAAGACATTGGAGCTACGGTTTGGTAACCCTGACTGCATAATTTCTAGAATATTCCATGAGATAAAGAAGCTTCAGCCTCTGCAACAGGAATATCACAAAGACATCGTTCCGTTTGCTGTGAAGGTACAAAATGCCGTGGCAGCAGTACGAGCAGTTGGACGTGAGGAGTACCTGCAAGGTGTCAATATCGCTTCGATAATTCTGTCCAAACTACCTACAGTGCTCATTTCTAAGTGGTCTGATTATAGTTTCAAAATCATCTCCCAAGGAAAATTACCCAGGTTAGTGATCCTATCAGATTTTTAAATGAGGAAGCTGTTAAGATTTCGGCCACTGCTAGCTTTTTTACAGTGCGAAGTGATCATGATCTGAAAAATAAAACGAGCATGCCTCCACGCACTCAGACCGTATTAGTTTAAGCCGAACAACGTAACGCGAATTGTTTGTTTTGCCGCACCGCTGTACATAACCTCACAGATTGCAAACAGTTTAAGAAATCACTACGTAAAGTACGGTGGCAATGTGCGAAGAGACACGGTCTATGTTACAAATGCTTAATTTCAAAACACGATCGCAAAATCTGCGCAGCCCCTGTGTGCAACAAAGACGGCTGCAATGAAGATCATCATCGCCTCCTTCATTATTCTAAGTCTAATCAACATGAGTGCCCCAGCTATGATAGTCATTATTCATCGACTACAATTCCGGCGAACATGTATGGCCAATAGGCAGAGCCTACGGTAAATTCAGAGACAATAACGCACATTAACACGAGCGATCATAAAGTTTTATTGAAAGTGTTACATATTCGAGTGTATGGACCTACCGGTATAGTGAACGCCACCGCGCTTCTTGACGACGGATCAAGTGTATCAATGATAAGCGCAGGGCTCGCTGAGCGCGTCGGGTTGCGCGGCCGTAGTGAAACAGTAGGCAAACATAATTCTTTTACACAACGCATAAGAATTCGTTGTGTAAAAGAATTATGTTTGCCTACTCAAAACTTATCCCTTACTGATTGTAATAATTACCCTTAATCTAATGAACATTCAAGGCCAATTATGTACCTCTAACTCAAAGCCTGAAATATTGATAGGACAAGATAATTATCATTTATTAGTTCCTTTGAAAATTAAGCTAGGTAAAACAAATGAGCCGTCCGCTACACTTACTCCCCTCAGACGCTCGTCCCTCTGCAGCCGGCCGTGACGCTTGCAGCACTAAGGCTGCTCTGAACATCACGGAAATCGATGAGGTAAGTGCCACTTCACAGGATGACAGTTTGCTGTAAGAGATCCATAATGAGGTCCGACGCTCGTTTGCCTGGGATGCCATGGGCGTGTCTGGTAAGCCGCGCCAGAATGCAGACGAAGTGTGCGCCATCGCCCAGCTGGAGCGATTCGCGGTGCTCGTTAACGGACGCTGGCATATTGGCTTACCTTGGAGGGACGCCGATCGCAGGATGCCGGACTCCTACCCAACTGCAATGAAAAGGATGAAAGGTATTGAAAGGAAAATAGAAAAGGACACAATTTTTGGTAAAAGGTATGAGGAACGCATTAATCATTTGCTGGTTAATGATTATGCGCGTGAACTGATGAAAACTGACGTCACACCGAACACGTGGTACTTACCACACTTTGGTGTTGACAACCCCAATAAAAGCAAGCTTCGGCTGGTCTTCGACGCTGCCGGTAAGGTGAATGGTTCCTGTCTTAACGACTATTTACTCACTGGGCCCGACCTACTGTCATCACTTCTTGGTATTATGCTGCGCTTCAGGGAAATAAAAATCGCAGTAACAGGTGACATAAAGGACATGTTCCTAAGAGTCAAGGTTCACGTCGAAGATCAGCATGCTCTAAGGTTTTTATGGAGGAGCAGCCCTACGGATAGAATCAAAACGTATGTTATGACTTCTTTAATTTTTGGAGCTAACTGCTCAGCCTTTGTTACTCAGTTCATTAAAAACAAGAAAGCCCGGCGATATGAGTCATCGTCGCCGGCCGCAGTCAATGCGATCTATCACTCTCATTATATGGATGACTACATAGTTAGTGTGCCGGATGAAACTACCGCGATCGAGTTAGTTAAACACATTAGCGATATTCACAAGGGTGGTGGTTTCGAAATTCGAAACTGGACTAGTAACAGTGTTGCCGTTTTAAATAGCGACTAGGAGACTTTAGGTCCAAGTGCAGTAAAATTTAAAGTCGGTCAGCAGTATGGAGGTGAGCGAACGCTGGTACTAATTTGGTTTCCAGCAGAAGATGAGCTTGGTTTTGACGTCTCACTAAAGCGCATTCCAAGTAACATTATTCAGGGCAATGAACGACCTACGAAGCGGCTTATGTTAAGGGTAATAATGTAAGTTTTCGACGTATTAGGTTTTCTTGGTCCCTTTACAATTCACGGTAAGATCATGCTTCAAGACACCTGGCGTTTAAATATTGAATGGGACGATTATGTGCCTGACAGTATTTACACTAAGTGGAAGAAATGGATTGACCTACTTAAAGTAATAGATAATATCCGCATTCCTAGGAGATCGACGAATTGACGCGCATCGAAGAATGGAGATATGTTCCTTCAAAGCTTAACGTAGCTGATTTGGCTACAAGGGAAAACTTTTAGCCTAATTTGTACTCTGAGTGGCTCACTGGTCCAGCTTTCCTATATCTCGTTGATGCGGCGTGGCCAAAGGATGTAATCCAGCCGGACCTCAATGAAGTGTGTGCGGAGCGTACAGCCGTTGTTCAGGCAATCCCCGCTTGTTCACCGGTACCGGATCCGGTACGGTTTTCTTCTTGGTTGCGCCTACTGAGGGCAACAGCCGCCGTTTTAAAATTTGTTGACAAATTACGAGGTATACCTGTCAATGATTACACTGTAGAGATGATGGAGCGTGCAGAGCGGCTGCTATTGAGACACGCACAGGCAGAGGCATTTGCGGAGTATTTTGTATCAATACGAAAAGGTAAGGCCTTACCAAAAAATAGTCGGCTACTCGCTCTCTCGCCGTTCTTGGATGAGCATGGCTTGCTTCGTGTGGGCGGTCGTATCGATGCAGCTGCAAATGTCACTGTGGAGGTAAAGAGGCCTATTATCTTGGACGGGCAACACCATGTAGCTAGACTTATTGCTCGACACTGCCA